CTCTGGCCTCAAATGCATCCCTGTGCTTCACTCCACACTACCTTCTCTGGCTGTGCTGGCATAAAAAAGGCCAAGCTGTGTCCAATGTCCTCTCAATAATCTACAATATGAAGCAATCAGATGTCACCATGCAGAAAGAATAGAAAGTAGTTGCGATGCAAGTTCGTACTGAGTGTGCGGTGTATGAGCTTGAGAAAAGCCCCAAAATTCTGTGTCTCATGCCAAAGCTGTGATATGACCACTGCATGTTGCACAGAGTTCTCCATCATTTTCTTCACCAGTGACTCGCTGCTTCAGGAGCGTGTCTGTCTGCAACACAGAACGTCTATGAAACCTGTTAATTAGTCGTGGATTTCAAGTACATTTAAAAAACATCTCCTCAAGTTCATACAGTGTTAAGTCATCATGGCAAGCCATTTTTATTTGACTCTCTTCTCGAAGCCCCATTCAGAAAACCATGACTAGAGTTGTATTAGTAATGGTCATGGGTTTAGCAATGTAGATAACTGGTACAGCAACAATATAAAATACTAGAGCATACTCAAAAGCCAGTTGTGAGCCCGTATGCATCATTAGCAGCCTTTCTCTCCCTCTTTGTCATTATTAGGATGATCAAACATGGCTTATAAACTTGACTTACCTCTTGGATGTGCTTCATACCTATGTTATTCAAGTGGCCACTAGTGGCAGAAGGAGAGGAAGGAACATCGAGGAGCAGATTATTCAAATGGTCAATGGTTTGGAAATGTTTAGCATTTTAAAGTAGTTTTATTGCTATGGCTTATAAACGGCTTTATCCACCATGGAAATTCACTGGTGCACCCTCCAAGAGCTCTTCTAACACTCTTCAGTCAAGCTAGTATTATAATAAAATATCCCTTAAGATGGTGACCCAACAGGGTTGATTGTCCTATTTTGTTTTATTTCAATGTTTGTGAGTAGAAAGCTATTAAAAGGGGAATTTCATGTGTCATGAATGTAGCTTCATGTTTACTGTATGTCAATGCTGAGTCTTTGTCCATCTGAATCCAAGTTAGTGTCAACCTTTTTTCAAACTTTTTTTTGCTTCAATATTTTGATTTTAAAATTGTACGCCACACATTTATGAAGCTATTAAATTTTAAGAAATTAAATTTTAATTAAATTCAACACAGGAAATTGTCATTTACCACTTGCTGTAGTATGATGTAACAATAGAAAGAACTGCACCACATTTGGGTTGGTATTTGTAAAAAGCAATTAAATATTTGATAGAAAAAAAATTTAATATGGAGAAAACACTTTTTATTCAATTTATTTTTGCTGTAGTACACTGCATTGAAAAGAGGGTGTGTAAAGCATTTGACTGAGTAGGTCATACAGTAAATGAGCAAGTGTTTTTTTTTATAAAAACATTAATAAAAACTGGACAATAGGCGTTTATATTCTACTGGCTGTAGTGTGTTATAATAAATGGAAAGTCTGTATTGCATTTGGCATTTGGTTTTATAATTATAGGACCAAGATTAAAGAAGCTATTTAATTTTTGGGAGTGAAAAAACTTTATTTTTCCAAATTCTTTTTACTGTAGTATGTTGTAATAGGAACTTCTATGATGTATTTGATTTCAAAATTATAGCCTGAAATTAACCCATTTAAGCCCAAAGACTTAAAAAAGTACAATAAGGAAATTGGCCACAGGAGGATAAGCAGCTTAGAAGATGAACAAATGAATGAATGAAACAGGTCCTTGATTCTGATTTGTTAGTTCAATACAGCCACGTTGGGAGAAGTTGCATGTGTTTCTGATGAGTTGGGAGTATTTTCACCTCTGTCCATCCTCACTTTTTGTGGGGATGTGTTGTGTGTATTATTAATTATTAATACTAATTTGTGTATTTAATCACACTGATAAGAACATCAGTAACACTTTCTATGAATGCCACGTTTGTAAGCATCTATAAACGTTCATAACATGTTATAATGCATTCATAAGGCATCATAGACATGGCTATAAATATTTCTAAAAATGCATTACATGTTATAGACATGCTTATTATGCATTATGAATTGTTAACATAATGCATTATAAGTAGTTCATAAATTATAAGAGCTCATAAGTTGTATTTGTCCGCTCTAAGTAAAGTGAAGCATACTGTACTAAAGCCTCCTCCAGTGTTAAGAGTGAGGCTTCAAGTTGAAGTATTTACTGAAGAATCTACTGAAACACTAAAACATACACAATAAAGCACATTACAGGCTTCAAATGTCAGATTTTAAACTAGTGCTGCCACCAGTGTTTTACCCAATAAAACTGCCTCTCGCACTCTGCCCAGTACCAGCGCTGATCTGCCGGATGAGCTTAATAACTTCTACGCTCGCTTCGACGGAATTCCTGCAGCACCACTGGAGAGCGCCCCGCCCACCGCTGATCCCAACCCCCCCTCCGTCTCCGTAGCTGATGTGTGCAAAGCCTTCAAGAGGGTGAACCCACGCAAGTCAGCAGGACCAGATGGCATTCCCGGGAGAGTGCTTAAAGCCTGCTACAGGGAACTAGCAGGAGTTTTTGCAGACATCTATAACACCTCACTGTCTCTCTCGGTCGTGCCAGCTAGTTTCAAACTAGCCACCATTGTGCCAGTTCCAAAGACAGCTAGTATTTCCTGTCTGAACGACTGGCGACCTGTTGCCCTGACCTCCATCGTAAGCAAATGCTTTGAGAGGCTGGTCAGGGATATCATCTGTTCCTCACTGCCTGCCACCCTGGACCCACTGCAATTTGCATATAGGCGGAATAGATCCACCGACGATGCAATCGCCCTGACCCTGCACACTGCCCTCTCCCACCTGGAAAAGAAGGACACGTATGTGAGAATGCTGTTTGTAGACTACAGTTCAGCATTCAACACAATCGTTCCTTCAAGGCTCGACTGCAAGCTCCAGGATCTGGGTCTGAACAGCACACTGTGCAGCTGGATCCTGAACTTCCTGACGGACCGACGGCAGGTGGTAAGGATGGGAAGTATCACATCCTCCTCTTTGACCCTCAACATCGGAGCCCCCCAGGGTTGTGTGCTCAGCCCGCTCCTGTACTCCCTGTACACCCATGACTGCACTGCTAGACACAGCTCCAACGTCATCATAAAGTTTGCTGACGACGCAACAGTTGTGGGCCTGATCTCCAACAACGATGAATCGGCCTACAGAGAGGAGGTTAAAATCCTGGAAAACTGGTGCCAGGAGAATAACCTCTCTCTAAATGTCAGTAAGACCAAGGAGCTGATCGTGGACTTCAGGAAGCAGGAGAGAGTACACCCATCGATTTCCATCAATGGGACTGTGGTAGAGAGGGTCAGCAGCTTTAAGTTTCTCGGTGTTCACATCAGCGAGGACCTGACATGGGCAGTGCACACCTCACAGGTGGTGAAGAAGGCCCACCAGCGCCTCTACTTCCTCAGAAGGCTGAGGAGGTTTGGCCTGAACCCCAGCATCCTTAAGACCTTCTACACCTGCACTGTGGAAAGCATCCTGACGGGCAGCATCACCACCTGGTACGGGAACTGTACTGTTCGTGAGAGGAAATCTCTGCAGAGGGTGGTGCGGACAGCACAGTCCATCACCGGGGTTCAGCTCCCTAACCTATTGGATTTATACACCAGTCGCTGTCTGAGGAAATCCAAAAGGATTATGAAGGACCCCTCCCATCCTAGTCACTGTCTGTTCTCTCAGCTGCCGAGTGGTAGGAGGCTCAGAAGCTTAAAAGCCAGAACCAGTCGGCTCAAAGACAGCTTCTTCCCCCATGCAACCAGGCTATTGAACAGCAAGTAATCACTGCTCTGCCCAGCCCAACCCTTCCCATTACACGTACGTGCACCCACTGTACTCCCGCACTTTACTTGCATAGCTGGACTTTGAATACCTATCCAAAGACAATACTCTCCCCCTGCGCTTCCACTTAACTTCCTGTACCTTGCACTTTACTAAATACTCTGCCACCTACTGTACCATCTTCTACCTCCACACCTAGTGTGATTATTTGCACATCCACATAGCATTGTAATATCCATTACTATATATAGTATATAGTTGATTACACCCACCCTACATTCCCAGTGCAATATTATATGTCTCGGTGCAATATTATTATTTTTAAGTTATTGTGTAAGATTATATGTATATATTTTAGTTAAATTGGTTTTATCTATTCTTCTATCCTATCTATAGTTTTGTTTATCTATGTGTAAATACTGTTCTCTGCATAATTTGTGGAACTCGCACTCAAGTTTTTCACTCACCTGTGTCCCTGTACTCTTGTGATGTGACAATAAATCTGATTTGATTTGATTTGATTTGATGTGGGAAAGGTAATGTACACCACCGTTAGCTTGGCACTAACTTAACACTGCATATCCAATAGAATGCTTGCAGAAATTAGCATCACTGTAGTGTAGTGTAGCGATGTTACAGAGTGAAGGGTTCTAGTGCTTGATGTTAGAATCAGTGAGGGAACAAATTACAATGACAGTTTACTATCAAGTATAACATGTTATTAACACTACTTATAATGCACTATGTTAACAATTCATAATGTTTAATAAACATGGTTATAAAGTACCATTCAGTGTAATTCATTTTTATAAATATTTATAACCATGTTTATAATGCCTTATGAACGCATTGTAACATGTTATCAATGTGTGTATAAATGCTTAAAAATGTGACATTCATAGAAAGTGTTACCAGAACATCTAAAAAAATCTTTAATCATAAAACCAGTAATATTAGATCGCTTATTAAATCTTAATTCTCCATTTATACTGAATAGGCATCTGTATATTGTTGTCAGTTTTCATCTGTCAATCATTCTGACATCCACTAGAACTGACAAAATGCAATGGTAGTTTTACGAGATCTTGAAAATCTGGGTGAACACTGAAGATTTACACACCTTCAGTGCCGCACTTTATTCAGGCTCCTTTATTTGTCTAATCGTTAAACCACACACAATAAAGACAGAGTAGTGACAGACATTACACAATGGGCACTTCACATTAAAATAATGGGGAAGGCTTTATATCTACATCACTTAGATACTCTAGTAAGAATTTTGCATGGCAAAAACAGAGGGTGCAGACAACACAAGCTGGGTTTCCATTCAAATATTTCACAAAAATGCAAATTTCTGAAGTCAGTAAAGAATTTAAGATGTAATAATCTTAGCTTACCTATATAACATTGCTCCTGTGGTCCTCTTGCTAATAGCTAACATGATGTGATAGGAGGTCCTCTTGCGAAAGCATGATGTGCTTTCAGGTGGTAAACCATCAGGGGGCAAGCATGATGTTAGTTCTGTGTTCATGTTCAAATATCAATTTGTTTTCTTATGGTAGACATCAGAAAAGGAGGGAGATGCAAGAGACAGATGCTGAGAGACATGGCTTGAGAATGACTATATTATAGGCAGGAGGTGGGGCAAGAAAGTAGGCAATGGTACAGTAGTAAGAGGACATATTGTGTCCTTGTGAACAAATTAGTGAGGGAAACAAAAAAACTTGGGGGGCTCCTGGGTTTTTAAATCATCATAAGACATCACCTTCCAATCAAGAAGAAAAACTTAAATGCATCCAATAAACTTCGTGGAACTATAACTGATGTGGTCAGTAGAACTTTTTTTCCATTAACTTTCTGCCATGGTCATGAAAGCACACTGTAAGCATTACTAGCTTGAGTGAGCAAACATCTAAATGGCTGTGACATCTATCAACCCGATTTCAGGGGTATCCACATATTTGTCTCATTTTTCAAACACATACAAAAAAGAACAATAACTATGCAGAAAAGTGAACTCAAAGATGAGTCAGTTTCACATCATTCATCAACTGACATCAAACACAAGATCTGCAATATGCTCAGGAACCAAGCCTATGCACACCAAAAAGAGCATAAAGGACCACGGTACAATCTATTTACATATTTCTGCACAATAACTTGAAATTAAATTGTTTTTTTAATTTGCCAGAAAAAAAGCAAAAACAAATCTTATTTTTTGTGTTTAACAATATACAATAAACCTCACAATTCAAGTTGTGAAACCCCCAATTTTATTATCTGAAGAACTACGTGATAATTCCATAATTTTCTTAAATGCATATATATTGATAAATAGGTAAGAGGCCAGAGATGTTCAGGTACAGCGCTGTTTAATAGGAACGGATAGCAGGAGGAATGGCAGCACAGTCTTCAGCATTCAGAGATAAATAGGTAAGAGGCCAGAGATGTTCAGGTACAGCGCTGTTTAATAGGAACGGATAGCAGGAGGAATGGCAGCACAGTCTTCAGCATTCAGAGAGTAATCAATCACAGGCCTATAGACCAGAGTGACCTGTGAGAGACAAAAGAACCAGCTCACGTTTTTCATTCTTTAGGAAAAAGCAGTGTCTCTTCACATTTTGTTTTTAAAACATTTCAGTGGACATTCAGTGCAAAAAGACTGTAAAACAAATAATACCTTTCCTGTCTTAGGATCTACATAAGAGAGAGTGTGCTTCCTCCAGTGCTGGTCAAAAGGCCTTTTCACTTGGCCCTGCAGTGGCTTGGAGTAGTCATACTCATCCACACGCTCCTATATCAGACAGAAAGTTGATGAACAAAGTCATATACCACTTGGCTGGATATAAAGTGGTTTAATCAAACTCTTATTTTTATGCTTCCGCATTTTAATCTTAGATCATTACAAAGACACAACTTTTTACATAATGTTGCAAGTTAAGAGTAGTTACTTTAGGCATCCATTAGTAAAGAAATTTTTGTTTTAAAACTGTTGAATGAAATTTGCCTTGAAATCCTCACGGGCATGAGCCCCCCTGCTTTCTTTCCGAGCCTCAGCTGCATGAATAGTCTGCACAGCATTCAGCATCAGGTTTTGCAGCTCTAACGTCTCCACCAGGTCAGTGTTCCAAACAATACCTGCGCAACCACAGCAACACAACTTAAGGTCAGCAATCATATTACTGCAAAGATGGTATAAAGCAACATGTGAAGTGAAAGAAACGGTGATACCTTCAGTGTTTTCAAATGTGAAAGATCTGAACATCTACATCTCAAACAATGCTTGAAAAAAGATTTTGATGTGTTCATAATTATTATGTGTATAATCAGCTAACTATCTCTGTAAGTGTAAAGTATGCTTCGGTTCATTGTCTTGCTGCATTATAAACATTTGCCCAACAGCTGCATTCCAAAAGCTAGGCTACGGGTCTTGGTGACCTGCATTTTTAGATCACTACGCCACCAAAGTCTGTTTGAATCAGAAGATCCTTCCTGCCAAGAAATTCAGCCTACATTTGAATAATTTTCCAGGATGCTACCGGAGTATCCTTCATGGTTTTTTTTAGGCATGCATCTGACACGAAGAAAGTTCAAGAACAATACTGGCAAATGCAAACAACTACTACATGTTGTGAAACCAACTACTACACATTGTGTTAAATAGCCAGTAAGGTCTACATTAAAATACACTGACCACCCACTTCATTAAATACACCTACCTTGTATCTACACTTTGTCCATTTTACCACATAGGTGCATTTTGTAGTTCTACATTTACAGACTGTAGTCCATCTGTTTCTCTGCACCATTTGTTAACCCTGTTCTTCAATGGTCAAGACCACCAGTGGGTAGGTAATATTTGGGTGATGGCTCATTCTCATCACTGAAGTGGTGGTGGTGTGAAATTGTTCATTTTAAAATTAATATTAACATGCATACCATAAACACCCCTTGCGCTGTATGGATCTTTGACATGCTGAGCATAGCAGTTCCAGTCTGTATGTTTGTAATTTTGAGCATTAAAACTCAGACAAACCTCTGTCAAATGTCTTGATGTCAGCCAGTGTCTCATAAAGGGAATCCATTTTAACACATCCTTCTTTAAGGACATCTCCAGTACGGAATACAGCCGCATGAGACTGCATAGTCTGAGAAGGGGAGAAGGGCAGTCAAGAAGGGCAGGTGAAAATCTGGATTAAACTAGGTGTTCTAAATCCTTGTGTGTGTCTCAAAGCACTCTCTAGTTCAGTAGTTAGGGTACTGCTCAGGAAATGAGCAATTTTCTACCCATTGTAAACTCATTGTAAAACTTGTTTCAGTGCACTGGAACTTTCATTTCCTGAAAGTTTCCACAATGGACCATAAAAACCAGTGAGCACTGACTGTTTATTATGCTCCCTGACCGGAAATAACATCACATCTCTAGTTCCACTTTCAAAAAGTTTTAAAATGGAGGACAAATACTGTATGTTCTTACTTGCCTCTCCATCGTGAAAAAAAATAACTGTTTATTTTTCACACTTGGGAAGAACTAAACCTACCAACAGTATGGGTTTGGGTCTCGCAAGACACTTGACAATCAATTTGATGTTTTCTACTAACTGAAGTGTTTATGTCAACCTACTTAAAAAGCTACTTAGTTCACCAGTTGTATTTGTCTCTTAACTTTACTTACATATGCCTTAATGTTAGCCACCAACTACCTTCTACCTATGAAATAATATATAACATGCTATATTTAACAAGTATTACACTTTATTTTTAATATACTTTAACTTCTGATCAAAAAGAACATGACCAGGTGTAAAAGTTACTCAAAGCCTACTACTACTACTACTACTACTACTACTACTACTACTACTACAACCCCATTTCCAAAAAAGTTAGGACGCTGTGAAAAATGTAAATAAAAACAAAATGCAATGATGTGCAAATCATTTAAACCCTATACTTATTTGGAAATAGTACAAAGACAACATATCAAATGTTTAAACTGAGAAATCTTGTTTCTTTTTGAAAAATTTTGAATTTGGTGGCAGCAACACATTCCAAAAAAGTTGGGACAGGGCAACAAAAGTCAAAAGGTAAAGTTAAGTAATGCTAAAAAAACACCTGAAGGTTAATTGGCAACAGATCAGTAACATCACTGGGTAGAAAAAGAGCATCCCAGAGAGTCTTTCAGAAGTAAAGATGGGGAGGGGTTCACCACTCTGTAAAAGACTATGTGGGCAAATAGTGCAACAATTCCAGAATAACGTTTCATATCGTGTCATATGAGAGCTGTAACTGCCTTCTTTCCAGTCAAATAGATGGGTAATGTAATGTAATTTAAACTCTTATAATAGAAGAAGCTGAACACAGTTTTCTTTGTCTACTGAAAGTTGACCCATTTTTCCACAAATCTGGGCTATAAACTATAAACAGATGTTGTCTCTTCAGTGATATACTCTGTATTTCACTAAAGATATATCACTGAAGAGACACCATCTGTTTATAAAATAATACAAAGAGCATCTGTTTATAAAATAATGCAAAGAGCGTCTAAGATTTTTGGCTTTCAGCAGTAAATTGTAAGCATATAGCAATATGTGTATGATCGTAAAACGTTCTGTTAATATGAGGGGAGCTTTTACAAAAAAAATAAAATAAAAATTTACATTTATTTCATGCAGTTACTGAATAATTTGCCTTACAATTTGGTCATGTAAATTCAGATGGACAAACCAAAATATACCCTGGAGAATAAGAGGTTAAAGTCCTATTGAAATGCACCATTGCTTGCATTTTTTCTGTTTTCTCTCCATTTTAATCATAGTCCACCTTGTATTCTTTTATTTTCTGGAAAATGAAATGTGTTATGACAGACCGGGTGGGGCTACCACCACATTCCACTTTCCAGATATTTGTTACTCCTCCCCTTTGGTTAAGCACAGTTGTTTTATTTAGGTAAGACCAGACACTCTTCAAAAGACGTGCTCTAAAGTCTCTTAAGAGAGAAAAATTATGTTAAGGTCAGAAAGCCTGTCTGTTTAAGCATTTTGTCTGAGCTGAGCCATAAAAAGGCCTTTTTACGTTTCAGTCCCTGCTTGGCTTTCTGGTCAGAGGTTCATATTTAACCAAGATTACACAGAGTGACTGCACTCTGTTTATTAAAAAGGGCCCCCAATAGTCTTGCTTTTATAGATTTAATTTCAGTCAGTTTGAGTACACGTTCAGTGAGTACAGTGTCAAGTGCTAGTTTTGCAAAGAAAGATACGTTATAGGTCAGTAATTTATGTATAATGAAATAAAGTCAACTAATATGAAGCATAACAATGAAATAGCTAATTTGATCAGTTACAAGTGATACCTTTTAGATTACCTAATAACAAAAACAATGACAGATTAGTCAATTACTAAAATACACCATAGCTGCTAACCAAGAAACATTGACAGCTCTCTTCTGTTTAGTGATTTACCAAAGACTCTTGGCTGACTACCATTGACCTGTATCAACAGGGAGGATTACTTTTATCTTCTGATCAAAAAGAACACAACCAGCTGTAAAGGAAATTAATCAAAGCCTTCTCCCACCAACTGAACCAAACCCGGCCACTATAGAAACAGTTGAGCTATCCTGGCATCAGTGATTATTGGGAGGGGACTTTAGTACATGGTTGAAGGTTAAATTGTATTAGATTTTTTTTTATATGTTTTTCAGTATTTTGTCAAAGATATTGTTACTCCTCCCCTTTGATTAAGCACAGTTAGGTAAGAACAGACACTCTTTAAAAGATGCGCTCAGAAGTCTCTTGAGAGAGAAAAATGACAATTCATGTGCTTTTTTACCCCTGCATTAAGGAATGTGTACATGGTTTTTTGTAAGTATTGTACAAGTCTGTGGACATATGTCTGGTTGAGAGTATGCTGGTGATCGCCATTTCTCTATGGATTAGTTGGATTACTTTAATTGGCTGGATTTTCAAAGGCTTTTCTTTGGTGTGAACAAGACTGTGTGCTACAATTGCTATTTATTAAATCTTCCAGGAGGGACAGGGGAACTAGAGTGTAGCCTGTGCTACTGTGTCCTCAATACAGTTTTTGTTGAAGAGTGAGATCACCTTTCTTAGACAATGACTAAACTCATTTATCTGTTTTCCTTCCTTTCTTCCACTTGGTATGAGTATCAAGGAGTCAGAAGTATTCCAGCTTTGTTGTGTGCAGATAGCACAATTCTATTTGCAGCAAAAGGGGAAAGAGATGTTAGATAAAATGTAAAAAGATGGGTTTAAAGTACAGAAGGGGTGACTTGACAATGTAAGTGGTTGAAGGACCCTAATCCTAACCCAAGGAGAATCCCTAATGGAAAGCAAAGTATGCAGCCAATACATTTTTTATATAATATGTCACAGAAGTTAAAAGCTTGTATGGAAACACTGCCTGATTTGTGATAAACAGAATACTAACCCTAAAGTTGAGGATAGCAGTAAATGGCTATTAAATGTTGATCACACTAGAGTGCAGACTCTGAAAAATTCAACC